AATCATAAATCAAGTCTTCGAGATTTTAGATGTTAATTCCGAAGAGGTATGCTTAAATACTGAAAAAAAAAAGATGCAGTTCGCTTTGATTTTCAAGTTGAGTAATGTCATATTAAGTCATAGTGACACCCTTGACGTCGATATAAGGGGTTTCAACAAACGCACATTATCTGGGAAGACCTTCTTGTAGTCAAAGCCACAGATTTGGGAGGAAGAATATAATTTTTATGACCGTACATGGATTTTCCTTAATTCGTTGAGACACTGAGCAAACTGATGAGCGGGATCGATATTACGTTTGACGTCAATAAAAGGGGATTCCTCAACCCAGCAGTGGATGGAAATCGAAGACAATATTCTTGTGGTCCAGGCCCTAAAATGTAAAATATAAAAAAAAACGGCACTGGTTTGCTCATTTAGAATTAAAATCATAAATCTTATTGACCAGTCGACTTTGTTTATCGCCGCAAATTCGCAAGTTATGATATCTTTGTTTTGATATCTAAATGAAAGGATGCAAGAGGAGAATGCTGAAGCCGCAGCTTCAGTTATCAATAAATTACCGCTGTAACACTATCGTATGATTATGCTTATTACGTGAAAATGACCAGAACTAGAAAAATAAATGTTTCTGACGATATAACTGGAACGCTAAGACAAAAACTTGTGTAGGAACTTGAAAAAAATGCTACAGAAAGATGGTGGCTGCAGCAGAAATTTGCCAAACTTCTGCTGTATCAATACATAAGAGAGCCTTGAAAAAAGTTTCTGAAGGTGTTGAGGATGGTCTCTCTTCTTTCTGTATGTCTTGGTATCAATTTTATTCGACATCTTTTTAAAGCAAATTAAACGGAACTATGGTAAAAGCTGAATTCTGCAACCGACGCTTATATTCCGATTTTTGGAAAGGAAATTTATAAATAGATTGATAGCACTAAGTTAAAAATAAAAATAATCGTTTGGAGGCTATAAAAGCTAACCTCGTCAAACATTTGGCAATATAATTTGCTGACTTTGCAGTCATCAGAAGCTGAAAAACAATTGCAGTGGATCAGAACTTGTCGAAGAAATGGTCAATTTCCATACAAAGATAAGATTGTTAGAGATGAACGAGATGAGCAGTTTTGGCCTTGATGATCATGGTGCTTTAAGTCATTGTTAAATAAAACGATGGTACATCAGTGAGTTTTTGCAAAATTTTGGTTACAGAAAAGCAGAAACATTACTTATGATAATAATGAGCTGCACCAAACCTGCTAAATCGATTGTAATCAGTAAATTTTGTAATAAAGTTTACTAATTATTTTTCTTTCGTACTACTGCAAAGTTATCTTGTAGTTCACATTTAGCCTATGGTTCTGGTTTTGCTAAATCTGCTATCCTCTTATTTACACCTTTTACTGTTTCAAACCTTTGAATAAGGAGGCCGTGAGTAAAAGCATGAGCAGTCTTTACTACAGTTGGCTCTTATTGTGAGCAAGACTGTGGTTTACAATCAATCTAACGGCTTCACGTCTATTTTGTTGCAGTGGATGTGTGTCTTGTTTGTCTTAGCAATAAACTCAATAAACTCTCAGTAAACCTTTTGAACTCGAATTTCCAAGAGAGAGTTTCGCTGAGGACAAAACTAAACCAATCACGGCTTTGCCGAATAACACGACGAATATCCGAAGTAAGAGGAATGTGATAAAACTGAGAGATCTCTGCAGTCTCAGTGGTCAACAAACAGTTGTGTAAAGGGAAGGTTTTTCTGCCGTGATTATCAAGAAGCAGTTTGCAACTTAGTCAGCTTCCATTATCTCAGTAATGTCCGTGAGTAAGGATATCCAAAATGTAAGCCAATTTATGACTTTGTGCTGGTCAATTTAAAAGGTAAAACGCAAAAAGTCAGAAGAACCAAGAATTGCCATTGTGCATGACACCTCAAGAGACGCGAGACCAGAATAAGCCTATAAAAATACTGTACTTACCTACTTGTGTACATACCAAGAGAACGCCAAGGATGTGCTTATCGTATTTGATTTTATTATTTGTATTATATTGACATAATCGTTATAATTCACACCTGTTCTTTTCGATTGTAATCGTCGTTATTGCCGTTGTTGCTATACTGGGCTATTGTCAGTATCATTGTTAATATTAATACCATTGTAGCTATTACTGTTATTATTATTATTTTGTGTTTGAAGTATCATTTGTTTAACATTTCTCGTAATAAGAAAATGCCTGAATCACTTAGACAGACACCACTTATTTATGCAATTTTTCTTTTTCTAAACTTTTCCCCGAAACAAAGCAATTTTTAAATAAGTTAGGGAACTCTTGTCAACGATACAGTGAGTTTATACTTGTGAGTTCAAATAACGATTTTAATTACTTAGCTTTTTGGTTTTTCATTTTTCGCTGTACAACTTAGAGGGATAATGTGGGGCAGCAACTCCATGTGTCTATTACACCATGGTATTCTCTAAACCATGTAGAGTGGCTTGTTTACGTTCTCCCAGTCAGACGACGGGAGCATGTGATTTTACTACTTAACAAATGGTAAACACCACAGCGTACACCCATGGGCAAATGGGGGACGCTAAATTGACCAATCAGAGCGCGCGCTTTACTTTGGTTATGTTATAAATCAGCATGTTAAAACATGCTTAAGTTTGTAAAAACATACTTGTCGATTACGCTCAAAGCTCGTCAAATGTACACCTCTGTGCTCAGCTTCATGTTCATTAACTCTCTGTAGCTTCCTCCCTCCCTAGCTTTTTAGTGCAATGATTGATTATCTAAAAATGAGTCTAACTGCCAATGAATTACTCTCTTGAGGTCAGTTTGGGCAAAATAAACTTTTGTCTATGCCATTTTCTGCGATGTGATCGGTCGAGCTGATTTTGCCGAGGGAGGAATGGGACTATGCTTTTTCGTAACAACCATGTTGTAATGCAAAAGGAACGGCAGGACAGAATTGACAAAAAATTTAAAAAAAGGCATCATTAACTTATTTAGTTCTATAATCTAATTCTCGACAGAAATTTTATCTCCATTCGCGCGCCCTGCTATGAGTTACACATACACGTGCCTTTGCTGGCACTTTTAGTCATCGACCTCGATTTATTTCAGTTGAGATGTCGAAAGAAATCTCTTGAAAGGTAGTTACCGATGAAATGACCTTTTTACTTCCATATCATCGGATATTTTGACAAGAATGTTAAAGGGAGTGTTTCCTATTTAAAAACAGTTCTGCGAAAATTTAAGGGAGCACGATTCCGCCAGCTTTAGCCGCCAGTTGTTTATTTCCTTGATTTTAAGGGCGCCCTCTAGCTTTTTTCACACAAGGACAGTCTTGTACATAATGACCTGTCGTCAAAAAGTATCTTCTTGAGGTCGAAATAACTTTTTGTTGATCTAAGTTTTCCCGAACTCGAAGTAGTCATTAGCATGCCGAACCGACCCATTTGGGATGAATTTTCTCCAAAGTCCTAGTCGATACTATTTGAATTAAACCAAAAGCCCACTATTTGAAAAAAAGGTTTTGTCTATATCACTGGAGAGTCCTCTGTCGTAATGCTGACAAAAAGGTCCCAAGAAGGAGAACTGATTATCCATTGACTGAGAACAAAACCAAAATGATGTTTAGGAATAGAAAAGAAACAGCTGGCAGAAGCCATGACGCCATGGCAGCCTATAGGACAACAAGTCACTGTAACAATTACGGCCGTGCACTTGGACTTAACTATAGTGCACTTTACTTCTGTTTTGATTAACGTGAGGCAAATATATCGAGGTTTACTGTTAATCGTTTTTTCCAAGCAAAAATCGTACATATCTCAAATTTTCAATATAGCCGTGATAACATGTCTGTCCTCAACCTCTCCGAAAAGTCTTCACAGCTCGACTTAAATTATAACTTTTCCCACATATTTCAACGGACGCTATTCAAGCTGCTTTTGAGGCGAAGCTCTCTATGTGCTCTTTCAAGTGAACTGAGTCTCAAGGGACAAAAATATCAAAGACAAAAATGCAGGACTAAAATCTGGGGCTAGCCTAAGTTTCTAAAAATTGTACCGTGACGCCATGTTTCATGAAGTCATGGTAAAGACAAAACTGTTCATGCCCCGGACTGGAGATTTGACGTTTAAATTGTTCTTATGGCTTAAATGCGATCGAGCACCGTATAAGCAGAATAACTTCTGAGTCTCCTTACTCACACCTTGGAGGCAAACGCTTCTTATCTCATCTAAATACTAACTACTGTTTAATTTAATGAACACAGCTTTACTGAAAAAAGAACAAAAACAAAAAAAAACTACACTAGGAGAAGAAAAATGTTGTTATGGTAACATCAATGATTAAGAAATTAACAACTTTTTAAGTATTTTACAAACAACCACGTCTTGTAATTTCATTTTTTCCACGTGAGATTAGACTCTAAAACAAGATGCAACGGAAATAGAAATTTCAATCTCTGTAAGAATTTTTTAAAGCGCCTCAGCTGTAAGATGACTCATTACTGGATAGCGATTTGCATTACGAATATTCAAACAGGTGATTATGTTAAAAATAGGCCGTAAACACTTGCTCTCGCACAGATATAAAAGGTCATTGTCGTCAGGAAATATTTCAAGAGAAGCGAGGAAAGGAACTGGCTGATTACCTCGTCAAAGCTTTCCTGAGAAAAGTGACAACATGGGACTCACTTTGGGTTTAATGGTAAGCTCACAAAATTGCGCTACTTTTATTAAATAGCCTAAGGGCTCAAGCCAGATTCAAAAGGGTGTATACTCGCGCTGTCATTTTTTTATTCTATAGCGTCAGATTTTGCCACTGGTTTAGTTATCTTATCGCAAGGCCATATTTCACCAATTTGACATCGTCATATTCCGGGTGATTCATTTCATGAGCAGCTGTGTTTTTTTAATTTGTTGACGCGGAATTGAGTAGGACAAATCATTTTTCCCTTTCGTAACAGTCACTCTTGATCCTCGTTTTTGCTGTGTCTAATGCAAAGCAAGCCCTCGGAAAAACCCACAATCAACAAGAATTGGATGGCTACAGTTTCGCGGACGCAAACATTGTGCCCAACCAACACGTGGACAAAGCCGTTCCCAGACTAAATGGCAAGAGTATGCATGGGTACCTGAGACACCACTGCTCTCAGCCTGGAGAAGAAATCCTTCAAGACCAGACAGCAAATTCACCTTGTGAAGCTGGATCATATCCGTGCCATGGGTATATTGAACTTGTTTGCAAGAACTACAGCTTTGCTTGTCTTAGAAGCTTGAACAAGTATGGCTCTCGTATTGATATTAAGTGTGTTCCTCGCTTTGACTATGTAACAATTGATTTGGGCTCTGAAGGAGAGCGACGCGTTAAAAGAACCAGAGGCTGTGGCTGTGCATAATATTACAAAGCGAATCGAGAATGGAAAACTGAAAGTGACGTTTGTAATTCCTGAGTACATATGATTTAAGTAAATTAGTTTAAAATTTTTGTTCCACCATAAAATCTTCATTTTAAAATAGTTGTATATCTGTAATTGACAGGAAAATAAAGTGTGAACACCATCCAAAGAAGCTTGAGACTTGTCTTATTAGCATAGAACGGAGAAATTTCTTCTTATCTAATGCTATTCAATGCCAAGCTGACTTACATCTTCTCAAAACTTTCACCTGATATTTCGATATAAAATAACACGTTACTATTTCATACTCGAGAATGAAAGTCATTGGAGTCTGAAAATCAAAGAGTCTGGGTCAGTACTGTTGCATGCTGATGAAACATGGTCGAATTCCTGTTTCCTAAATAACGTTCCCCGCTTAGCTTCACGGTACATAAATTGGGTTAAGACTGGGTTAGGTTCCTGCTAAATGGGCCCCTAGTCTCAAGTGCACACTTCACGTTCTACCTTAAATTTGTTAGATAATCATGTAGAAGAGTTTGTTTTGCTTCCGCAAAGCAGTGACCAAGTTCCGAAATTCAAACACATCAGCTTTACATATCCATGACACATGTAGAAAATGTGCTGTCACGGAAAGAAATCACAAAAATAGAGAAACAAATGATTGCATTCAAATTATTGAATTCCTGCCAAAGTATTGAATTCCTACCAAGAAGTCATGTTTTAACAACAGGTTGGAAATATATTTTTTTTGTGATCGTGCTCTCCCAAGTGTACTGAATAGGATCTAATCATCATTTATTATTATTATTATTATTGTCATTATTATCATTTTTGCTATTAGTCACGATAATTATTAAAAAAAAAAATTTATTTCGTCTCTAAACAGTTTAGATAAAACATAGAAATCATATTCATAACCACTAACCTGGCCATGTGGGGGAATGATTTCGATCGGAAAACCTTTTTAATACATCAATATTGACTTTCTTGAGAATTGCGTGCGTTTCCAATGATTAAAAATCAGGTTATTCATTTATTTAGTATTGGCAAAAGTACAACGTTGTACTTGTATTAGATAGATTTAACTTTTAGTAAGTATATTTATAACTTACAATTCCAGGAGGATTAACCGTGTAAATAAAGTTGACCTACTTACCTACACCTTTCGCTCTTATTTCCAGAGTCAAAAAATTAGTCATTACAAAAGAGAGTATTCGTATGACCCGTTTGATTTATGCTAATGAATCGTTCGTTATAGGCCGAAATGAGAAGAAAAGTTAAGAACAGTAGTGAATATTTATTCAATCAACTAATACTACAAAGGGTTGTGATTTTCTTCGGGTGGTGGTGACTGTTAAAGTCACAAAAATCAGCAAAAAAAGGTAAGTACATTCAAAAGCAGAACACGTATGCGTGCACGTGCGGAATCTTTATCAGGTTGTAGAGTCTGCATTTAATTGGTGACAACTAGTTCTCGCATAAAAGCAATAGAACATTTTTCCCGGGCTCTGTAACGTGATAAACCCACTTGGGATGTCGGCAGAACACTCGAAAAGCTTAGAAAATACTCGCCTTCGGCTCGTGATCTATAAGCCTTCCTTGTGTTCTCCAAACGGAAACAAAGAGTTGTGTGACAGGCGAAACCTTTAGGGCATGGACGCCCTTTCAGCATTCGCACCGCTTTCAGATATACAACGATAACCTTTAGGAGGCATTTTTTTCGTAATGTAGAATATAACCAAAATATCAATTTATTGTGCACGATTTAACCGTTTCACATCCTTACAGCCTTAAGAACTGGATCTATCGCGAAAATTTAACAGTTTTTCTGGCTTTTTTTTTCCAGTTGAGGCACTTCCAAAATTGACGGATTTACGAATTCTGAATGTATGGTGCGTAAACAGGTAACATTTACTGAAAGAAAACTACAGCAAAATTATAAAAGTACCAGTGGCTGGAAATTGATTTAGGAGCCAAGATAAAATAGGAGCGTGAGAAGGACAAGGTCTTGCAGTTGCGCATAAGCGGTTTCAAACCCGACCAACTAAAATGATGGTTTTTTAGAGACGTATCTTTGAAGTTTTAAGGGAAAGAGGAATAAGTGATATCGAATTCCAGTGCAACCGGGTAATTGTAGTAGCATGATCAATGCATAATGTAATAAATCGTGTTTTTAAATATCTATTAATTTTGTTTAAAATGTAAATAAAAAACGAATCTTTGACAAGGCTGGACCTGTTCTTGATTACGATAAATGTGCTCTATTGTGCTAGCGACGAATTGAAAACACGTTACTCTCTGTTGCCTGAGGGTTCTGAACTCCTGATCAGAGGGTCTCGATTGGAGCAGAGGTCAGTGCAAATGTGTTGCGCTGTCGAAACTGAACGACATTTTTTATTCTTGGATGGCAACCAGCCAGGTGACCAGTTAGGGAAACTCGAGAGATTTTTTCGGTTTTTTGCATTGGACCCAACCGAGCACAACTTTCGGCGGCATTCTAGTGCAGTCGCATCTAAAATACTTTCTAAAAGAAACAATCCATTAATCATCATTCAATATCTTAGATATACTTTCGTTCTTTTCGTCTTTATCATTATTCATATTTTGTGTGCGTTCGCCTCTCTGTGCGTGTGTGTGTGTGTGTGTGTGTGCGTGTGTGAAAGTCTTGTGATCAGAAAAAAACTCTAACACTGATCAAATGGCATTTTAAAACATGTCATAAGGGTCTGGGAATCAGAGACTCCGAGTAAGTGTATTCGTGCACGCGGATAAAACATGGTCGATTTCCTGTTTCCCATAAAAACGTCCCCGATTCATGGTAAAGAAACAGGATTAAGCTCTAACTAAATGGGCCACAAGGCTCAAGTACACACTTTACGTTCCACATTTGTTTCCACGATAACACCGGATAATTTTTTTCCCCTTTCCTCAAAGCATTGATCAAGTTCCCCAAATTCAAACAGAGCTTTCAATTGCGGTTTTCTATAGCACTGAAAGAATATATGCTGTTTAGGAGAGAATTACAAAAATAAGGAAACAAAGGAATTTAAATTATTGGATTCCTGCCAAGAGATCATATTTTACCGAAAGGTCGTAAATATTTTGTTGATGAAAGTACAGCATCCTTGTAAGTAAGGTTATCTATTTACTTATTTTATTTTATTTTTTTACTATCAGCAAAAATACAACGTTAATTGTACACGTATTAGGTAGATTTAGTGTTTGTATGTATATCTATAGCTTGTAATTCCTGGAGGATTAACCGTGTATAAATAAAGTTCACCTACTTGCGTACCCACATCTTTTGCCCTTTATCGCCAGAGAACAATTTTTTTATTGAAGAAAAAATGAAATGAAAATAACAATCGTTCAAGAAAATGCAGCAATAATTTCTCCCTCTTAATGTTCATTTGCAAGAAAACAAATTCGTTAACAGCAAAATATTGTGTTAGTAATACCTGTTTGTTCTTATCTTCCGATTTGCTCCTTGCCTAGCCATTGTGGCATATAGGTTTGTATAAACCTAAAACCATTGAGTACACTTTCTAAATGCTATACATGTCTTATTATTACGCAGCTTTTTAGTTGATTGCCTCGCAATAATTAGGTGGTATTCCCCAACCATTAAAAAGGAAATATATTTTTCTGCTAAATCATTGCATAAAAGAAATCTAATTCTCCAAGTTCACTTGAGACGAGGGTTTAAGTATTGTCCTAAAAAAGCTCTGATCATGGCCAGCCAAACGTGACCAAAAGGGTAACTATGGAATCTTCTTTTAAGCTATTCGTTGGATAAAGAGGCTGAGGATCCAAACGGAAACAAAGAGTCGTGTGACATACCATACCTGTAGGGTATGGTCGCCCTTCAGCATTCGCGCCGGATTCAGATATACAACGATAACTTTTAGGGAGCAGTTTTTGTAATATAAAATATAACTAAAATACCAATCTATTGATAGCCATTTGACCGTTTCACATTATTGCAACCTTAAGAGCTGGATCTATCGCGAACATTTGGCAGCTTTTCCAACTACTTTTTGTTGGTCGAGACACCGACAAAACCTGACGGACCTGCGAGTACCGAATGTATGGTATACATACAAGTAACATTAACTAAAGGAAAACTGCAACAAAAGTTATAAAAGTACAAATTTTCCCCCTAATTGGACTGCGTCTTAAACTCTGATGAATCTGCAGCCCAAAATATGATCGTTACGATAACAATTGCATTTCAAAAATAGCGAACAATTTTTCGATGGATATAAAAGATCGCAGATCTATGTCAAACATAGATCATGTATTGCAGATTCTTCACAATTTATCAATTCCGACGAGGAATACTCGAATTTTGAGAGAGATGCGGATTGCTGTGATTTTCAAGGTGAGTAATGTCCAGGCATGTATGTTCGCCAAATCTAAAGTTTTGTTTGGTCAAGAAAGCGAAGGAAAGTAAACAAGGAAACATTTTATTCGCTTTGTCACACTGGAACGTAAGACACTGTCTTAGTTTCCCACTGAACTGAGATCTGCCATTCCTGGTTTTTTATTTGACACAAAACGATAAGGAACGTTTATATGCTAACCAGGGTTGCATTTTCCTCGTTTGAATAATTGTTTTACCAACACTAATGTTTACAACTATGTCATTTGACACGGGCGGAGCACAAATGCGAAGTTTTTTTCCTCCGATAAATGAACTAAAATCGTCACATATTTATCAATTTGATACAGTAACAGCAACAACTTTATTCATATACTTATAACTATTTCTATTTTACTTCTGGCAGCAGCTTTGTTTTCTCGTATTGGCTTCCGGCATGCTATATTCAAGCATGGTGCTTGGTAAACCGTACAAAGCAGAACCATTTAACAGGGTAGACCCGACCTCTATCCAAGCAAACCCGACACTTAACCAAGAAGTCAATGCAACTTCTATCCTTCGAAGCAAAAGAGACGATTCCGAGAAAAGAAAATTCCTACGAAATTATTGCTCGACACCTCCGTTATTGACACAGCAGCAGTCGGGGTCAAGGCATTCGTGTGAAGCTCGATCTTACATGTGCTATGGCCGAGCTGAAAGAGTTTGCAAAGG